TGCATGATGACCAGAAAGCAGCATTCATGCTGTGCTTACCAGATGCCAACAGGAACTCAGGCTAAGTGCTGTTAGATGCTACTACAGCAGCCTAATGAGGTGTCATGGTCACGATCACTGTCTGTCCTCTTTCCACAGATGAAGGATCGGGCTTCATGGGGTTGGGTGTCTCGAGTGGCACTTAAGCGGCAGAGTCAAGATTCACCCCAAACTCTTAACCAGTGTGTTAGGTTGCTTCCCCCCATAGGTTTCACATGTGCACTTGGGGCTCAGCAAAGTACCATGAGACCGGTTTCTGCACTTCCTCCGTTATGGTGGGTGAGTGAGGTCCTGCTCCCTGCCCTTCACACCTTGTGATTTGCCTGTGACTGATAGACAGACAAGCAGGTTGAAATGCTGAAGGGATGTTGTCTCGTCTTTCTGTCTCATCTCTGGGGTGCTTAGTCTCTGGCTCAGGCACGACAGTAGTAGTGAATTTACAGATGAAGATATCTCGTGGCTCTCACTTCTATGGCCAAGGGGTATGAGATGCAGAATGCTGGCAGACAGCCCGTCTGGGCTGTGGCGGGGCAGTGGGTGTTCGGACCCAAGCGGACACACCTGGGCACATTTCAGAGGCATTTTCCCAAATCCCACCTTTAGTGACACTCCTGCAGGATCAGTCCTTTCTTCAGGAGGGTTGATTCTAAGTCAAATCACTGTGTATCAAATACCACTGCTATCTGACAGCTCTTTAAATGTCCATATTGCTTCTGAGTGCGGCGGAAAGCCAGGAGGCAGGAAGGGAAAGGTCATGCTAATCTTGGTTGTTACATTTGGTGCCAGGTACAACAGAAACCAAGGGCATTTAAGCTCAAACGACCTTGGTAACTTGATCTCTCACATTCCATGTATTCCAGCCAAGGAAATAAACACTGGTGTGTAATGTTCAAGAGATGCTTAACACTTTTACATTTACAAAGTGCTTCCAAATTATCTGAGCCTCATCACACTCTCTGTACGTGAGGAAACTGAGCTTTGGGGAGGGTAAGCAACTTGTCTCAGTTTCTCCACATATTCGGCACAGCCACTGTGGGGTTCCGGATCTTGGGGAGGCCTCAGCATTCAGCAAGGGCTCCAGTGTTCCGTGACCCCGGGTTCCAGCCTCAACTCTGCCACTAACTAGCTTTGTGGTCTTTTCCAGGCCTCACTTTCCAGTGCTTTAAATGGGCGTACTCATGGTACCTGCCCCAGGTACATAAGAAGAGCTTGGCAGAGTACCTGGCACAGGGGGGATAACAGGAAATGGTAGCTGCTAGTATTAGTTCAATTCTCCATCCGTTAGGAATGAATCTGGCCATAATTAATAGACTAGTAAAGCAATCTTGACTTAAACAAACGATGAGAGTTCCTTTTCTCAGACAATAAAAAGTTTGAAGGCAGGCAGTCTTGGGCTGGCCAGCAGCTAAATGATCCCATTAAAGACTACGTTCTTTCATTTGATGGATCCTGGTCCCCATAGCATATTGACTTACTGTCTCCTGGTTGCAAGGTGGCCTCTGTACCTCCATCTACCAATCATACTTCCGTCTGTCGTAAGGAAAGCAAAAGCTTTCCCAGAACCCCACCTCAACCACAGTAGACGTCTGCTTTTGTCTCATTGGCCTGGACCGTGTCTTCTGACTATTCATAGCTGCCAGGACACTTGGAAAGTGAGCATTTCACTTTTCAGATTTAATAGTATATGAGGCAGGAAAGCAGGTAGATGAGAATGCGACTGGCCCAGTGGTGTCTGCCACCGTTCTTTCTGCCTCTCCCGGCGTCATTTAAAAAACATACTTCGTTGTGCAGAGGGCTTCATTAATCCTCATCTTGTGTTCGGGGCACGTGAACAGCAAAGCTCCTTTCCTAGGCTGATTCCCTTTTATTCTCACAAAACGTGTACTGCTTTGCGTGCATCTATTTTTTCTTAACTTTCTGATTGAAATGTAACATACATAGGTATTTCTGGATGGCTCAGTAGATTTTTACTATGTATCCTTGTGAAAGCATCACTCATGGGGGCACCTGGGTGGCTCAGTCGTTAAGCGTCTGCCTTTGGCTCGGGTCATGATCCCGGGGTCCTGGGACCGAGCCCTGCATCGGGCTCCCTGCTCAGCAGGAAGCCTGCTTCTCCCTCTCCCACTCCCCCTGCTTGTGTTCCCTCTCTCGCTGTCTCTCTCTGTCAAATAAATAAATAAAATCTTTAAAAAAAAAAAAAAAGAAAGCACCACTCAGATCAATATATAGAACATTCCCAGCATCTCAGAAACCTTCCTCCTTTTCCTTGCTCTGTCAATACTCGCCCCCAAGGGTAACCATTATTCTGGTTACTCTGGTCTGTATCCCCATTGGTCTCTTTTGCCTGTTCCTTGGCCATAATTATTTAAATGGAATCATACACTGGCATGTAGTCAATTTTTGGGTGTGTCTTCTGTCACTCACCTGTGAGACTCATCTGTTTTTGCATGATGGGGGAGTTGATTTGTTTCCTGCTTTCTCTCCGTGCTTTGTCTCTCTGCCTAGACCTGGGATAAGTTGCATCATGAGAGCTGGAGTAGCACAGAAATGGAAGTCACCTTTTCCGCACTCATAGAGTATCTTTTCCTCGTAAAAACCACTTTCTCTGATTTCTCATAAAGCTTGCCTGCGCCCTGCTCTCTCCAGCACGATGTCTACTTTAAAAGGAATCTCTTGGGGACTTGTAGATTTGCCTTGGATGCTGTCAGCATAAAAGAATTTTCTCGAACACTTCTTCATTTGGAGAAGGTGAAAGAAGAAAGTAAGAGAGGGATGCTTTCTGGAAGGACATATTTAGGCAAAGGGGGAAAAAGTACCAACTACAGGCGTCACTAGGAACTTGAGCTAGAAGCCAGCTTTCGGAGCCAAGATTTACGTCGGTCCTCTGTGTCCCTCCCCTTCTAATAGTCTCAGTACAAAGCTTAAGGCGTAAGAAGCTCACAGCAAGTCTGTCCCTCTTGGGGCTGGGAAAGCTGGTTTGAATTTAGGCCAACTCTGAGAGGCCATCCTCCTGCCAAGGCTGAGGGTGGTGGGCTTTGCCTATCAAAGCCAGGGTGCTTTCCTTTATAAAAACGCTCAGTCCCAGGACAAACTTGAGAGCAGGAATAAAGCTGGTGCTTTTCAATGGAGTCTTAAATGAAGATGAAAGAGACTAGTTATTGCTGCAAGTATGGTCATGGATAAGTCAGGGATCAAGCACAAAAATTGAAACTATGCAGTTAGCTCTGGTGGCCGGTTGTTGTCTCTACTTTAGGAATCTGCTGGTCCCGTGCCTTCTGTCTGCTGAGATAATGTACTGGAATACTCTGCAGATACTTAATCAGGGGTTCTTGCTTGGCAGCTAGAACACACTGTAAAGGTCCTGACTGGCAAGATGGGCCATCCTCAGGCACTTCCATTCGGGTCCAGCATCCTGACACATTTGTGTCCGTGAGCATATGGGATTAAATGGGTGAACCACTGAGATTCATCACCTCTAACATCAGATGACCAACCTTGAATTTAGCCCTATTTATTGCTAACAACTTCAGAATATTTTATTAAGTTTATTGAGTAATTTTTGTGGCTCTGGCTCTTGCTAGGGGCTTTGCATGTATTATCTCAATTATTCCCCACAGGAACTGGGGAGTTGGATGGGATTATTTCCAGTTTGCAAGTGAGTAAATTGAGGGTAAGAGAATTTAAGTAATCTGCCAGTAGGTAGCAAGTAGTAAGAAGTGGGGTTGAGATTCAACACCAGGTCTCTCGGATTCCAAAGGCCATGTACCTTGTAACACCACACTACTTTGGAAAAATAAGATCCCCCCCTTTCTGATGTGCCAACCCGATGGTCAACCCTTGCCTCCCCTCACCCCAAGTGACGCTCTTCAGACTGTTGAGCCAGTAAGTGACTGGTTTTAGAATAGCTGAAAGTTGTAAGTACGTTGCCACTCATTTTGATTTTAGCTAGTTGTTGAAGCTTCATTATTACCCAATTATATTTTTTAAAGGAATTTTTAAAAATACTTAAAGCTATAGGGGCACCTGGGTGGTGCAGCTGCTTAAGCATTCGACTCTTGGGTTTCGGCTGAGGTCATGATCTTAGGGTCATGAGATGGAGCCCCGCATCGGGCTCTGTGCTTAGTGGGGAGTATGCTTAAGACTCTCTTCCTATCCCTTTGCCCCCCCCCCAGCTCTTCTCTCTCTCTCTCTCTCTCTCTCTCTCTCTCTCAATTAAATAGATAAATCTTAAAAAAAAATACTTAAAGCTATAGAGCAAAATGGAAAGCACCCTGATAGATAATAAGGAGACATTGGTTTCAATGCTGATGTCACCACGACTCAAAACAAGCTATGAGACTGGGATGTAGTCTTAATTTCTATGTGCCTCAGTTTCCCTCATTTGTGAAATGAACAGGTTAAAGTGTATGCTGTTAATGCCTCTACCTGTTCTAAAAACATGGGCCGCTATGACTTCTGTTTTTGCTTTTGATATTTTAAAGTGGCTTCAGAGTACAAATATTTCTTAGACCTTAACTGCTTAAATGCAAATTAAGAGAAGTGGATAACATTGGGGCTTTCAGGATTTTTTTTTTAAAAGATATTAGTTCTTTGCCCTTCCGAGTAAAGCTGCATTTTCCATTGCATTTCCCAGTCCATCACTCCCACCAAAAGAAAAGCCCGTAGGTTCTTAAATAATTCATACTGCAGCTCAGATTCCTTGAGGGTCTGGCAAGCTTTAATCTTGGATAAAATGATGTAAAATATTGCCAATAGCCAACCTCGGGTTGCCAACCCAAATATAAATCCCTCCTTGTTTAATATATGAATTTATAATATAAACTGTTTTAAATTATACCTGGTACAATTGAATAGACCTCAGACACTGTTGAGCAACTTTGAAAATAAGGAATAAGATGATATTATGGTCTAATTATTGAGAAATGTGCATACTTAAACAAAATTTTACTGCATCATTTTAGACCCAATAAAGAGAAAACTGGCCATGTGAGTGACTCAGGATCATCTGTCATCAAACATGGGCTCAATCCCGAGAAGGTCTTCATGCAGGTTCATTATTTAAAGGTAAGTGCATGTAAGCGACAGAAGCCAGTTGTTACGGGGCAACACTCTTTAGGTTATACATGTAAACATTTAAACATGGCTGGGGCAAAAGAAAGAGACTATCCACATTGTAATGTCATATGACTGGGCAGGTACCTGAGGGTCTGATATTTAAAACGCTTCATATCCCAAAAATGAGACATGAATCAGTTTCCCTGCCCTGTACTTCCCTTCTCTCTGCTTCATGTCGGTTTTGAAGAGCTGAATCTTAAAATTGCTGTTAGGTTCCAAGGAGAAGACAGGAGGAATAAGGAAGTATTTTACGTCGTGAAGGCTTTTCCTGCTAGCTGAGGGAGACAGGAGCTGGGCCCCTCCTCGCTTTCAGTCCACGATGGACATTAGGCTTCATGTAAACCGAGGAAAAACCAGATGGTGATACCATTAACAGAAGAGTTGAAAGCAAAGTAGCAATTCCCTAATTCCAGGTCCAGCCTTACTGGTAAGGATCTGAAAGTGCAGCCCAGGACAGGTCAGACAGAACATTCTCTATGTGCAGAAAGCACTGGTGGGAAGTTAGAGTTGGCTGCGTCGTAAGCAGCTTTCTCACGAACCCATGATAGACATCTTTTTTTTTCTTCCTTTCTTCTAGGGCTATTTCCTTCTCCGGTTCCTTGCCCAAAGACTTGGAGATGATACCTATTTTGCATTTTTAAGAAAATTTGTGCACACATTTCATGGGCAGTTGATTCTTTCCCAGGTAATTTATGAGTTGTCATGAGTCCATGATATATAATTGGAGGGAGTGTGGCATGTGGGGACTAGGTTATGTGAGTATCAAAAAGTAGGGAAAAGATTTACGATTTAATGCAATAGGAAAAGTAGGGAGTTAATGAAGTGAACACAGGGAGGTGTTGTTTTGGGGAGGGTGATCTCCCTCTAGCTTTGGGGCAGACTGTAACCCAAAGCTGTCCTATGCACAAGGATGTGGATAGTTGCACCTTACATGACCTTAAAAACAAAAACAACACAATCCTGCTCTTCCCTTTACCTGGAATGATCTTTGCAGGGTTGGCTCTTTCTTATCCTTTTGTCTTGGCTTGAATACCACAATCTCAGAGTCACCCCCGCTGAACATCTGTGTACCCACCGTGTTATTCTTTGCCCTTTGCCCTTGTCATTGCCTTCATTGTCATTGCCATTATTCATAATTATATTGTCATTGGTGGATCCATTTGTTTTTTTTCTATCTCCTCCATTCTGTGCATAAGCTCAACAAGGCCAGACCATGTTCTTTATCTCACCAGTACCTAATACACAATCTGCACACTGTACAGGCAGCCTATATATCAACAAATCAATTAATAACAAGACACACTGAAATATTCAGACAGCCTGGCCACCAAACTATCAGAGAGAGACACTCTCAGCTTATACTGGTGTCGGGCCAAGATGCACATAGCAAGAAAGATAGCAAAGAGGGAGCGGCTCTGAAAATAGTGCTCGTAAATGACAGAGAATAGAGGATGCGGCCTTAACACCAGTTGGTCCGATGGGTATTCTTGATATTTGACAGTGATGCTCATACACAGTTTTGAAGTCACATTGTCCACAGTGTTAGCTGTGATGTGTGTGAGTGTACAACCAAAACACGTACAGTGGGAGTAGCGTGAGCGTAACAACACGAGATGACTGTTCCTTGCTCCTACATTCTTTTTTTCTCTTGGTTGGGGGGAAAGGAGGGTCTTCCTAAACATCTATTTGGAAAAACATCTTAAAAATAGGCTCAGAAATCTTATATGCTTGGTGGACCGATTAACCCAAACTCCCACTGCCTAAAACCACTGCGCACTGAGATACTGTAGCATTAAATGAGCGTGTTGCCCGTCCTGTGACTTCTGAGGTGCTGATGTCAACTTCCCGTGGAACGCTTAGTGCCTCCTCTACCAGGTCACTCAGGTTTTCTTTTATCTTTTCTGAACAACAGCTTTATTGGTTTTTCATGACAGCTTTATTGAGATATACCATATATATTCATATACCATATACCATATGTATATTCATATACCATAAATTTCACCCTTTTAAAGGGTACAAATCAGTGGTTTCAGTATATGCGTGAGGTTGTGCAACCCTCACCACTCTGCCGTTTTCAGAATATTTTCATCAGCCTCACAAGAAGCCTCATACCCATTAGCCATCACCGCCCCACTCCCCCCCTCCCCACTCCAGTGCCAGGCAACCACTAACCTACCGTCTGTCTCTGTAGATTTGCCTCTTCTGGGTGTTCCACATAAACGGAGTCATAGAATACGTGGCCTTCCGTGCCGGACTCCCTCATGTAGCACAGTGTGTTCTAGGTTCATGTGGTAGCACGGAGCAGCACTTCATTCCTTTCTTTATGTCAAGTTTTACTTTTTAAACTTTGGTAAAACATAACAAAATTTACCTTTTTAACCACTGTAAAATGTATAGGTCAGCACATTAAGTATATTCACATTGTTGTGCAACTGTCAGCACCAGGCATCTCTAGCATGTTTTAATCTTCCCAAATTGAGACTTGGATCCATTAAACAATAACTCCACCTTATTTCCTTCTCCCCTGGCCCCTGGCAACTGTCACTCCAGTTTCTGTCTCTAGGAGTTTGACTGCTCTAGATACCTCATATAAGTGGAATCATACAATATTTGTCCTTTTGTGACTGGCTTATTTCACCGAACGTAATGTCTTCAAGGTTCATCCATGAGGCAGCACATGTCAGAATTGCCTTCATTTTTAAGACTGAATATTCCGGTCTTCTCTGCACTGGGAACAGCTGTCCAGCCACAGGCCCTCATCCCCTGAAAAAGACCGCTTGTGCAAAGTTCTTGCTCAGGAGCACCTCTCAGCTGTTGAGCTGATCACTGTCTGCAATGGTGCTAAAACCACTGGGGACATGGACAGATGAGAGCCTCAGCAGCCTGGCAGCCCCGCGTCCCCTGACCTCACTTATTTCCAGCCGCAGCTTCCGAACCAGCGCCATTTCAAGGGACATCCGCACAGCGGCCAAGTTCATTGGGGCTGGGGCAGCCACGGTAGGGGTGGCTGGCTCTGGGGCTGGAATTGGGACTGCATTTGGGAGCCTCATCATTGGTTATGCCAGGAATCCCTCTCTGAAGCAACTGTTCTTCTCCTACACCATTCTGGGCATTGCCCTCTCGGAAGCCATGGGGTTCTTTTGCCTGATGGTGGCCTTTCTCATCCTCTTGGCCATGTGAAGTAGCCATCTCCACCTCCCATAGGTCTTTCTCCCGTGTCTTGTCTGCCCTGTATGTTCCTTTTCCTGTACCTCCCCAGGCAGCCCGGGGAAAGTGGTTGGCTCAGGGTTTGACAGAGGGAAGATAAATAAATACTGTATTAATAAGAAAAGAAAGACTGAATATTCCATTGTCTGTATATGCCATATTTTGTCTATCCATTCATCCGTTGATGGATGCTTGGGTTATTTACACATTCTGGCTCTTGTCAATAATGCTGCTATGAATGAGTTCCTGCCTTCCTGTCTTTTAATTATATTTGAGGAACTGCCATACTGTTTTCCACAGTGGCTGTACCATTTCACATTCTCACCAGTAGTGCACAAGTGTTCCTATTTTTCACATCCCTACCAACAGTTGTTCTGTTTTTTAAATAATGACCATCCTAGTGGGTGTGAAGTGGTATCTCAGTGTGGTTTTAATTTGCATTTCTCTGATAGTTAATGATGTGGAGCATTTTTTTTAAGTACGCTCCACACCCAACTCTTGAACTCATGACCCTGAGATCAAAGAGATGCATGTTCTACCGACCTACCGAGCCAGTTGGGTGCCCGGATGTTGAGCATCTCTTCATGTGCTTATTGGCTTTTTGCTTTTTTATATCTTCTTTGGAGAAATGTCCATTTAGATTCTTTGCCAATTTTTTATTTGGGTTGTCTTTTATTTTTGAGTTGTAAGAGTACTTTATATATTCCAGATTCAGGTCCCTATCAAATATATGATTTGCAAATATTTTTTCTCATTTTATGGGTTATCTTTTCACTTTCTTGCTAATGTCCTTTGTAGCACAAAAGTTTTTAATTTTGATAAAGTTCAATTTATCTTTTTTTATCTTTGGTTACTTATATATTAGCTATCATATGTAAGAAACCATTGCCTAATTGAAAGTTATGAAGATTTACTCCTCCTTTCTTCTAAGTGTTTTATAGCTTTAGCTCTTACATTTAGGTCTCTTATCCATTTGAGTTAATATTTTTTATATGGTGTGAGGTAGGGATCTAACTCCATTCTTTTGCATGTGAATATTTAGTTGTCTCATGACCATTTGTTGAAAGATTATTCTTTCCCTCCATTGAATTGTCTTGGCATCCTTGTTGAAAATCAGTTGACCTTAAATGTAAGAGTTTATTTCTGGACTATTAATTCTATTCCATCAATCTCTATTTCTGCAAGTACCACAGTAAGGTTAGAAATTCTTGCTTTTCAACTGAGACATACTCATTATAAAAAAAAAAAAAATTCAAGCAATACGTAAAAGTACAAAGAAGAATGTGAAATACTATTTAAAATCCCGCCACCTATAAATACCCATAATTAATATTAGGTGAACTTCATTCCAGAAATTACACTATTCTCTCTCTTTTTGTATGTTACATGATATGTATACATTCATCTGTATGTATATGTGTACACACATATAAAGATACAAAGGTATATGTAGAAGTAATTTTATAAAGGTAGGATTATATTATATGTGCTTTTTAATTAAGTGTTTTCAATTTTATTTTACTTGAATTTAACAAATGAAAAAGAAACTAAAGTGAATGCAAAGAACTTTCCTGAACTTCGTATAAATGTAAGAGAAATCATTTCCTAAAAGATTCTTCCATAGTCAAGAAGGATGATTACAAAAAAAATCTTTGAGGTTGAAATTGTTATTTTTTCCTCTTTAGCTATTTATTACATTTTTAGAAAGCAACAGTTTATTCACTTCTGTAAAAGCTGAGGAAATTAGCAGTTATGTACTTCTACTACTTTTCCCCCAATTCAAAATTTTTCATAATTAAATCTCTTTATAGAGTTAAGGTTTATATCATTTGTTATATGTGCTGTAACCATACTTTTCATAGTTGTATAGTCTTGGCTCTAGATTTAAAGGACTTCAGTTTCACCACCAGTCACTTTGCCATGCTTCTGTATTCATGAATGCCTTATTTTGATTCCATTTTTTGTTGGCTGAATTTTGTTATCAAATTGATGTTTAAGTTGCAGACTCACTGCTTCTGTGATTTTTGAGTTCTTGTGTGCTTGAGAATGTTTGTCTGTTGCCTTTATATTTGAATCACAAACTGGCTGGGTATAGTATTCTCCGGTCACATTTTCATTTTCTCAGAACTTTGTGGCTATTGCTTAACTGCCTTCTGATTAATAATGTAGAAACTTTTTTTTTTTAAGATTCTATATATTTATTTGAGGGAGGGAGAGAGAAAAAGAGGGAGAGAGGGTGGGGGAGGGAGGATCAGAGGGAGAAGGGCAAGCAGACTCCATGCCCAGCATGGAGCGCAACTTGGGGCTCGATCTCAAGACCCTGAGAGCATGACCTGAGCCGAAATCAAGAGTCAGCTGCTTAAGCGACTCAGCCACCCAGGTGCCCTGCTGTGGAAACTTTTGAAGTCAGCCTACTTTTTCCTCTTTATGCCACTCAGATGACAGAAGAATTCTTTCTTTATCTTTGACATTTAG